TTTTAATTTCTTCATCTTTTTTTTTTAGATTTGATCTTTATTATTTTGATTATTATTTATTTTATTTGAGATAATTTATGAAATTATTTTTTTTCAATTTTATTATTATTCAACTTTTTAATTTGTAAGATTTATCCCTTATTATTTTAATAAACTTGAGAAAAATAAAATATTAATAAGTTATTTTTTAGTTCATTTTCTATAACATAACCAAACACTGGAAAGTGTTTTGCAGTTCATTTTCTATAACATTACCAAACATCGAAAAATACTTTACTTTTCAGGAATTTATTTTCTGAATTCACTTTCTCTGGAATTCATTTTCTAAAAAAATAACTTTTTTGCAAACAAGCGAGGCTAGGATTCTCTTTGAAAATAAAGTCTATGGAAATGACAAAATTATTAATTCATAACAGCCCAGATTACAGTTTGGATTATGGGTAGTATTGCCTGCGAATTGAGAATGAAAATCACCTTCCCATTTTAATTCTAACAGGAAATAAAAACCCAACGCAGTTTAGGCTATGAGGAGAATAGCGTTTGTAATTTATTGATTTAGTTTTGGCTGTTAAAACAATATGTGTGTATATATATATATTAAGAAATTTTAATTTTAATAAACTAATTATTTTATAAAATTTACAAGAAATGTTTTATTAGAAATAGGCTGACAACAACATTTCTAAAAAAGTATAGAAGAATCACATTATTATTAAATAAAATTAAATTCAAATTATAATATATATTTTTTAAAAAGGTTAAAATTTCATTTTCATAATCTTAATTAATAATGGTTTTGTAGGAACAAAGTTGCATGATTTCTAGTACAAAGTCCATAAAAAATCAAAGAAATATAAAAAATAAATAAAGATTTTATAAACTAGAAAAACATAAGAATATGGAGGGATTCTAGACCTTCATATATTTTGGAAGGTATCTTAGATGTTCTTATCTAACATGTAATTTATAAGTATTTTTTGTAATGATCATAGTTCGGTACAAAGAACTAAATCAAGAAAATTCATGGTTCATTATTATAAATACTAATGAATTATTTTCGTTTATTTCTTATGCATAATTGCATAGAAGGTAAGATTTTGTTTTATACTATATGTATATATATTTTTAAAATAGTTGTTTTATATAAAAATATTTAATTAATAATATTTTTATTTTATAAACTATGATTCTTGAGCACCATCTAAGACCGTCCAATGTAGCTTTTTATTGAAACATATAAATACAAGTAGAACAAGGAGTTGGGTTTACACTAACCAACAATTAAGGCTATAGAGATCAACTAATCAAAACTAGTCAAGTTCCTAAGCTCCAGGGCAAATTATTTTTTTTTCAATGCAGAAAAAAAAATACAAACAAATTATAAGCATATATTACACAACTATGAAAAGTTAAAGTTTTAATTGCAAATCGAAAGTTGATGTATGTGATTAATATGATAAATAAAAAATTATATATTTTAATAAATATTAACAAATTATTAATGTTAACTAAAGATTAAGTCAATGAGTTGATACAAAGACACATTAAGTTATCTGATCATGTCATGCGATGAATACATCCAACTTGTTTTCTTAATTATAGTGCAATAAAATTATTTTTTGTAAAAATAAATAATTATTCCAACTTATTTAAAAAATAAAATAATTTTCTAGTATAATTCCTCCTTTTTTATTAATATATTGTCTTTTCAATAAAAAATATTTTTTATTGGGTTCTTAATTCAGTAGAAATAAAAAACAACTTGAATAAATGCAAAACAAATCTAGATGATTTGAAATAAGTATATAAAATATATTTTTTCAATTAAAACCTCATTATCTTATTAATGTGCTGCCTTTTTTTTTGAAATTTCACCAAAATAATAGTTTTGAACAACAATTTATCTTAATCATAAAAGCAAGCTTTAATAAGCAAACACTAGGTATTGAAAATCTTCACTTAAATGTATTGAAAATATAAAAACAATACATTGTATGTGCATTGGCAAGGAGAAATTTCTGGAATCCATTTTTTTAACCATACAATAATAAAAATAAATATACATAAAAAAACAACAAATTAATTCAACAAATAGTAATAAAAATTCATTAAGAGCTATACAAAAACAACAATTGTTGATATTATAAAAAAATGATATAATCTTATCCAAAAAAAAAAAGAAAAGAAAAACCAACCAATATTTTATAAATAATATCCTACAAATATTTTAAATAATTTAATTTTAGTGAATTCAAATTAAAAATGAGAAGAACGATAAAGACCTACGTGAACAGAGCCTACAATTGTAAGTCAAGTTGAGTTGATGCCTAAAAAAAATTAGGCATGTGTGGGACCTGGAAGGTTAGTTCAAATGGCCATATTATAGTTTTTTTTTTATTAAAGTGAGTGAATAATATATTGTTCGTGTATTTTTATAAATAAAACAAATAATATATTATCTATGTTTGTAAATAATGCGTTAGTTGCTTGTCTATATTTCAGCTATTAGAAAGAGAGCTGAAAATTTGAATTGAGGTTTTAGTACCCAAAAATCATTTTTTAAAAACTTTTTCACCTAGGAGCATCTATTAAACATGATTAGAGCATAAAGAAATCAATTTTTCAATTTAAAACTCCTCTAAATCAAGTCAAAAACATAAATTTAAACCAGGTAAAAAAATTTCTTTCCCAACTTTGATCTACCTTTTCTAGTAAGATGAAGATAAAAAATATTCAATGAAACTTTTCTTGTAAAATGAAACTATTGAAACAAATATCAATATTTTTTGTTATTAAAATGAAATCAATCGATAATTTTCTTTTTTATTTATTGTTTTTTATGACTTTTTTTTTTATATTTTTAAATTCAAAGGTTAAAATGTAGGCAAAATAAAGTTTTGGATTAAACTTATAGAAAAAAAAATTGACAAACATAGAAGGAAATCTTGAATAGTACAAAAAAACTTAATTTTTTTCTTATTGTTAATTTTAAATTTTAATTTTTTCACAAACAATAAAATTGATTTTTTTTTGTAATATTGAGCATTTATTTAAAATTAAGATATTTTTTTACTATAAAAAATAAATTAAAATAAATTATTAAAGTCAATCATGATTAAAGATGAAGTTAAAAAATAAAGGATAATAAAAACGAAAAACAAGGTTGAATTCCGCAGTATTTTGTGAAGAATGAAATCGTCACCTTTTTATAGTAACAGGAACACAGTCCCTGCGACTTTATTTGTCCAATGCTTAACTCTCGACCAAACAGATTCATGTGCAATTATTGTGCCCATCCAGAGGAAGCACCACCGCGTAGAGTAAAGAGGCGAAAGTTTTGCCTTCTATCGTTCAACATCTGTAAGAGTAAATTCGTCTTTAATCCCTGATTTATGAACACTTTTATATTTGAAAATATATAATTTAGTTGCTTGACTGACATTTACTTAATTTTTCTTTAGTCTTCACTATTTTGATTTTTCTCTAAAAGAAAAAAAAAACATGCAATTGAGTTTTACAATAACACCAACAACAACATATATTTTTGATAAAAGAGTGGTCAACAAGAACTTTAGGACAAAGAACAAAGTAAAAATCTTATCATTAACTGGGAAGAGTAGATGCATGGTGATAGTGCCCGCCATGCCACCGTGAAAATCTAGTTATCCAAACCGAGCTACTACTCCTTGCCGCCCAGTATAGTATTTGGGTCACTGCCAGCCTGACTTGTGCGTTTGTAGTGTGGTTTACCTGCGTTCTAGAATCCTAGGCCCAACAAACTCCTACCTTTTCACCTCCTTCCTCCTTTCATCCTCTATATTCTCCCATGGAAGCTGGTCCCTTCAGATTTAACATTAGTCCTTGGACGAAGACGAAAACGGAGCAGACAAGGAAATCAACATATGGCTGACACTGAACTTGCTCAAGCCCAAGAAGCCATTTCACCGGTGGGAGTTCATAGTCCTACAAATATTAAGCCTCACCGTCTCAACAACCATGCTCTTGCTTGTGCTCTTCTGGCCTCTACATACTCCATCTTATTAGGCTATGGTAAGCCCAATTTCACCTTTCTGTCATTTCTTGTTGATGTACCATTCCCAAACGGTACGTGCATAAAGGCACTGAATCGATTACAGCAACAACCTGAATTGCCCTTCTCAAAATATTATACTAGTACACTAGCTAGCAATTAATGTAATTAAATCAATTAATGTTGGTTGGGTTAAATTTGTACTTGCAGATATCGGTGTGATGAGTGGTGCAGTGCTCTTTATCAAAGAAAACCTAGAAATCTCATCTACTCAGGTAGAGATATTGGTTGGTGTTCTAAATGTTTCTTCATTAATAGGCTCACTGGCTTCAGGAAAAACCTCAGATTATATAGGCAGGCGTTATACCATAGGCTTAGCAGCCATAACATTTTTAATCGGTGCACTTCTAATGGGCTTGGCACCATCCTTTCCATTCCTCATGGCCGGCCGTGTCATTGCCGGTATCGGGGTTGGATATTCCCTCATGATTGCTCCAGTCTACTCCGCTGAGATCTCCCCGGCAATGGCACGCGGCTTCCTTACCTCCCTTCCTGAGGTTTTCGTTGCTTTTGGCACTCTCCTTGGTTACACTGTCAACTATGCGTTATCAGGTCTCCCACAGCATATTTGTAAGTTTTGTTCTTGAAATAAAACAGTTTGTTTTATCCCCTCTGAATGTTTCAAAACCACCACAAGTGGTTTCTCCCACCAACACTTGCTGCTATACCTTCGTTGTTAATTGGCTGTGGTGTTATAGCAATGCCTGAATCCCCTCGCTGGCTTGTAATGCAAGGCAGGTTGGACGATGCAAAGCAGGTATTGATTAAAATAACTGATACTATACAAGAAGCTGATTTCAGACTCAGTGAAATAACAAAAGCAGCTTCGTCAGATCATTTAGATTCTTCAAGTGCTAAATGGCATGGGCATGGGGTTTATAAGGAACTACTGTTGAGACCTTCTCGGCCTGTTCGCCGAATGCTTATTGCTGCTCTAGGGATTAATTTCTTCATGCAAGCTTCAGGCAATGACGCTGTTATATATTACTGCCCAGAAGTGTTCAAGGATGCAGGAATTCACAGCAAGAAAATGCTCTTTGGTGTTAATGTCATCATGGGATCTGCCAAAACTTCTTTTGTGGTGTTCTCAGCTCTTTTTCTGGACCGGTATGGGGCTCAGCTGGGATGACGTTGTCGTTGGCTGTTTTGGGAATGGGCTCTAAGTTTCTCGAGCATTCCAACAGTAAGCCTATGTGGGCTATCGTGTTATGCGTCGTGGCTGTGTGTGGGGTTGTTTCTTTCTTTTCTATAGGGCTTGGGCCAATCACATGGGTCTACTCGTCGGAGATATTTCCACTGACATTACGGGCTCAAGGTTCGGGCCTGGCCATATCTGTTAACCGGCTGGTCAGCGGAGTTATGTCTATGAGATTTTTAACCATTTCAAAGAAGATAACATTCGGAGGAATGTTTTTTGTGCTTTCTGGAATAATGGTAGTGGCCACGGTGTTCTTTCATGTCTTTATGCCGGAGACAAAAGGGAAGACCTTAGAAGAGATTGGGGCTCTCTTCGAGGATAAGAATGCGGAAGCAAGCATTGACGATGGAAGAGAAATGGGATAAATGTAGAGTGTATGATCAATTAGTTTGAACTTTTCATCCCCCTTTTTTTTTTAATAAAATCTTCTCATAAAACGCTCACTCTCATCAGGTCTACAATTTGAATCTCAACTATAACAGACTTCTTGATGATATATTTATGTTTACATAAAATACATTATAATAGCTGCCTTTGAAAAAAATGATAAACTTCAACCTTGAAATATATAGGTGCTATGAGTCTTTCCAGATCAAAGAATGGTGCATCTGTTGTGTGTATAAAAAGAAAGATAACTTGCTTACCTTTCTATCTTTCACCGTATGGTTTATTATCTCATCTTTATTTTACAAAACTCACATGAAGAGGCAAGCCCTTGACAGGCTGGATTTTGAGAGCCAGTAGGCCTAACAATTACAGCGTAAGAGGGGTCTTAATTATCTTGCAAAAACTTGGGGGTAGCTTGTAAAATGGGTGCAAGTATTAGTCCTGCATCATATTTGCACGCGATCAACACTGAAATATATGGCTTACAGTTACGTTAGAGGGAGTCATAGATGTTAGAATTGCCACTGGCGTTCTTTCTTCTGAAAATAAATGAAATTGCATGGAAAATGACTTGAGAGATTTCGAACCGAGTTTGAAAAAGCAGTAAAAATTGAGTTTGGGTAGGAATTAATTGTAGATGATAAAAAGGGATGAAATCAAATCTTACATAATTTTGTTCTGAATAGTGTGTTCTTGAATGAATTGTTGAATGCGTTAAATGAATTTGCGTTTTGTTCTGAATAGTGTGTTCTTGAATGCGTTAAATGAATTTGTGGTGGCCGAATCTTCTCGACTTACCTAGTGACTTGAGTTATTTATACACCCCGGTTATATGAACTTGTCATGGAGAGCGAAGAGAAATGAGTGCCGCTGGTGGAAGGTTAATGTTTGTCGTTGGTTCTAGTGGGTTGCTGCATCATTGCTGAAGATGTGGGTGGTCAGTTGGTGCCTTTAAGGTGACATGTAGGAGGAAATGACTGTCTGTATGGAAAATTTATCAAGGGCATCATCACTGAGTGGTTTGAAGGTGTGTACCAATTAATTTTTAGTTTTAAATCTGATTTTTTAAAACTAAAAATACATTGAGATGTGTGCTCAGGGCATAGATATTAGACCACGTGTTATGAGTCATATATACACCAAATAGCTAACTATTCGGGCTAGGCTTTCAAGGACAGGAAATCTAGCTCGATGGCTACGTTTATTTTTATTTTTATTATTGCTAATTTTTGTTTACTATCACCATCCATTGCTATTGCCCAAACTTCTTACTGGGACATGCAGTACAGATCTTTTTGTTAACAATATTATTTCTGTGACCTAAGAGGGAAGTTACCAAGGTTAAAGGACTTGGAAAGATAATTATGGTGAATTAATAATTTTAACACATGTTATCAGCCAAATGTAAAAAGACAAGCACACATAAAGAGGGACATGGACAAGCCCAGATTAACCAGAGGTCAATTAATTTGTCAAACACTAAAGTCCAATCAAAATTTTCAGAGCCTTCCTAGTCATAACCAAAGCAAGAGTAGGCTCAAGAAATCTAAGTCAATGCAGTAGTTCCCTCTTGTCACTGAGCTAATTTCGTACTTCGAAAAGCTGAATCCAACTTGCCTAAAACTGTCTGTTAGCTTTTGGTGCCTTTGATGTGTTTTTGTGCTGTTGGAAACTTCTCAGGCTTTGAGATGCTCTTGGCATAAAAAGAGGATTAAGGGCTTTATAAGCCGTTAACAGAGATAGGAGTCCTCTCTTTAGATTCATTTTCTAGATGCAGCCAAAGACTTAGAGCACTTCATTTGTCTTTTACGCAGTGAAAAAAGTTCAGGCCAGACATTATTAGCATGTCGACAAAGCAATACAATTTAACTTAGATTTAAACATAAAGAATGTGCACCATACCATTTTCCAGCAAGAAACATGGAAAAGGTGACAATGCTACCTTTGTCATCCACCCTGAATCTCACATTTCAAAACTCTCTCTCTTTCTTCCCACCCACAATTTCCCCTCTCCTTTTATGTTTGAATTTTGAGAGGAGGATTCTGGGTTCCTCTTGATGCCTTTTCTTTTCTTTTTGTAATTGCAAGATTTACCAACTATACGATCTGACGGAATAAACGTGGAATCTGTCTGAATAATGAATACATACAGAGCAGGTGATTTAAAGTGTACAAAACAAATTATAAGTGCTGCCTACCAACCCCTCCGTTTAAATGCTTCACTTGCACAACGCCCCTTTCAATTTTAGTGTAATAGAAATAACAGGGAAGTGAAGGACTGGCCAAAACCTTGACAGATAAATTTATCTGCAAAAAGGAAAGAAAGGAATTGTCCTAACTAAGCCTTACATGTCAAAGCTATCAGTCCTTTTCTTTCCTTTTTAGATTATGAAATGGTGGAAGAAAACGAAAAGAAAGATAAAAAGCGCTCCTCCTCCATGGTAGCTGTGGGATACTATAAAACAGCAGGTTGATGCTTCACAGCTTTAACACAATTAATTGACATACTTCCCACGCCAAGCTGTAGATTAGACTAAAAGATTTTTAAACATAAGAAAAAAAAAATTAAAGGATAAAAGAAAAGGAAAAGAGAAGGTGTTCATTTACAATTTTTTTAAATAAAATAAATAAAATTTAAGATGATATTTTTTATTTTTTAAAATATTAAAATATTAAAATATTTAATCAACTTGGATTAATTCATTAAATTCAATGATTTCAATACTATTTTTTATTTAATTATATAATATAAAATTCAAGATCAATTCAAAATCAAAAAAATATTAAAGAATAAAATTAAAAAAAACTAATTAAAAAAATCAATATTAAAAAATAAAACTAAAATATATATATAAAAGATATGCAGGCCTGGCAGTCCAGTGCATTAAGAGATGAAGAAAAAAAGTTCAACTAATGCATTAAGACTTTAAGAAAAAAAAGTATAAGAGTGAATGTTTTGTGATACAATCCAAAAAAATATTGGGCAAAGAAATTTGCATTTTAGTATAATTGTATCTATTTTTTAGTTTTATACTATCAAACATAACTTTTAATCTTATTGTTAGATTAGAGTAAGATTTTATCAAGAGTTTTCAGACATATTGTTCTATATTAAGTTAAAATTTTAAGTCAATTAAAGTTTTGAAAAACATCACAATACAAGTTAGAAGATGCATTATGGATTTTGTTATTTATTATTTTTTGACTTGTGAACTTTTTATTTAGAAATGATTCTTTTTTTAATAATGCAAAGATATTCAGCAACTAATTTTGATAATTTTTCAAATTCTACAAAGAGACTAAGGGGCAACAACTATTACAAAGATTTCCACGTATATTTTGGAGAGTTACACACATATTTAGGAGAGTTAAAGTCGATTTTGTGTTGATTTTTTTTTAATATATAGTTTTGTTATAACATGTAAAATTTTTAATCTGATCATTAAACTAAGTTGGAATTTAACCAAAAACTTTTAGAGGTCTTGTTTTATATCCATTTAAAATTTCAAGTCAATCAAACATTAGAAAGAAATTTTGATAAGATTTAGAAACAACTATGCAAGATTTGTATTAGTTTTCTCATTGATTTAACATTCCCTTTTCTATTTTATTTAGAGGTATTTTATTATTTTTTCAAACTTGTTTAAAATGTTTTTACCTAATAACAATAGGGTTATTTAGCTTGTACTTATGCTTTTGTTTTTAAACCATAATATTTTAAATAAACTTTTATTTTGTGTGATGTAAATTGTTTTCTCCTTACTGGAATAAAGAACAATTGAACTTATCAAAGTATAACTGATTTTGTGACATTCTTCCTTATATATATATATATATATATATATATATATATATATATATATATTTGTGATTTGCCAATTGTTGAGTGGAGGTTCATCCTAATAATGTTGGTGTCTTGGTTCATGTAATTATTGTGTCACACACTTTTATATCAAATTTGATTTTTGTCTTTTTAAGATTATATCAATCTTGCTTGTGTGTTTCTAAATTTTTATATCCATGGGATTTATATCACTTGGGCAATTTTTTTTCCTTATAAGGGGTACATGGCATGGCTTGTTAATACCCAGGTTAGAATCCAGCGACCACTACAGTGGTTGAGAAAGTAAGAGGGGCAGGGTTTTTTTCTTTTATTGAAAATTTATTTTTCAAACTACTTTCACTCAAAAATACCTAACAAACAACACAAAAACTCCCTAAACCTCCTATTTAACTTCAAAACACCCTAAAATCACATAAGAAACTAAAATCAACTTAATCAAAAAATCAAAATGAAAGTCGATCTGTTTTTAAGCATATTTATAGAAAAAACACATCACCATCGAAGTCCTTTTTTTAATGGAATCGTTCGACACTAAGTTTGGCCATTTTGGTTGTCGGAATTATGACAACCAACTATTTCTCTCTTTCACTGTTTTGTAGGAACTTTCCTTCTCCTTTCTTAAAATTAAAGACTTAAGATAAAAGAAACTTTTAAACGAATGAAAAATTACATGAATTTGAATTGAATCATGTATTTTCTTTTAGTCTTGATTTTAAGTGCTTTATTTGATATTTTCTTTTCATAATTTGAAGTTTAATTCTACCTAATTAGACTATAAAAGGATTTAATTACAAAAATAAATTAAAAATGAAAAGAAAAGATTAAGATTATTTATTTTTTAAATGAATAGGTGACACGACTAAAAAATTGATGTCTTCTCCCAAGTGCAGGAGTGTTGAAGTAATAAATAACCTGGCAAGACCGGGGTCGAACCACAGGGAGGTTAATTGTACAAATTATAAATAACAATAATACAACAACAATAACAATAACAACAAGAACAATAATAATAGTAATAACAACAACAACAACAATAATAATAGTAGTAGTACTAATAATAGTAATATTACTAATAATAGTAGTAGTAGTAATACTAATAATAATAATAATAATAATAATAAAGAAAAAGAAGAT